TGCATTGTTCTTGACAATGGCAATTAGGAAGATATTTTGATTTGAAGGTAATTAGCAAAAATGGCAAAATTGCTATTCCAAATCTTGATGAATTGTCCTAATGTTGAAAGCTGAAATGAGTCCAGTTCTTGGGATAAATTTCAGATTACTCAAAAGCATTGCTTAATATCAACAAGAAATCAGCTATGAAAAATCTCTGTAATTTCCATGGTATTATCTGCAATGCATTTCATATACAAATTAGCAGACCTGACAGGATGCTATGACAGCATCTTAAATCCCTCAAATTTTGATGTCGTGCGGTCAGATTAGCAAGATGTTAGTGAGCAGAAAAACTACTCTCAGTCCTTTTCCATATGAACGCCCCCACCAAATCCTTCCAAAGTGCTTGTTCCCAACAACAGTATCTATAACCCTTCCACCTTCCAGCCCCTTCTCCCCAAGCTTGAGTCCTCCCACCTCCTTGAGACCTCTATGAACATTCCTCACCTTCCTTCTTCCCGTTTACTTCCCTGAAATCCACTGGTTCCCAGCACACTTCCCACCAGACCTCCCTGGCTTTCCTCATTCTTAGCCCTGTGCTCTTACCGACCCAGGCACCCATTATGCCACAGGTGCAAAATTAAGTTCTGCCATTCCAAGGATCATTTATTTTCAAATTATGTCTAATTCTTTGTGAACTGCCGAAAGGGCAAGTATAAGCCAATTTAAGAGGAGAAAGATAAAACTGAAACATGTTACAATTGTATTACGATGCTCAACACACAACATTTGTCTTGAAGGAGATTGTGCTCCCGTGCTTCAACCCCCTGTGGAGCAGAACGGACCTGTTCCACCATAGCACATGACAATGTGTTTGTCATACGGCAGCTCACAGTCTCTGCTGTAGGCAGATTTTTGCCCTTTGCGAGGCAGGATGGGTGAGAGGGTTGTCAGGAGGCTAGTTGTGGTTCCAGATTCTCCAGCTGATTCAGTGCTTGTCTGGACAGCTCTAAACTACACCAGCTGCTAATAGTCCCCCTCGGGATCATTTTCTAATTGCAGATTACCAGACACAGCAGGGCATCCCTTTCTTCTCCGAGGGTAATCCTTGTGCTGGGATGGAGGGGAGGAGATTTATGAAGCAAGTACGCAAGTCTCAGCTGAGAATTGCTTGTGTGGTAGAGACAACTAATAAGCTGGTGAATGCCTGAGCAATTTCTGGTGCTTTTGTGCTCTTTTGTGCAGGGAATCTATCTTTCACCACACTAATTCATCAGTGTGGGTATTATACACCAGAATGGCTTCACTGCACTTAATTCAGGTGATTGGTATCCAGGTTTACACTAATCCAGGACCGTGCTGTCCTATCAGATTCATGTGTTTTGTCTCACTTGTCTGGTCCATCTCACTTGAGAAAGCCTTTATCTCTTGTTTTTCCCACACCAGAAATCTGATTGTCAGGTCCTTGGTCTTGCATTGGTGCAAAGAACATGCCTAGGACATGATTGCAAATGAGAGAGTTTTCACAGCAGTGGCGATCCTTAAAAAAATTAATCTTTGTTAGTTGAGTATTTCGTACTTTGTTATTCATATTTCGCATTTTGTTAGTTGAGGTTTTCGTACCTGTTGCTTGTGACAGGATTTTCTTTACCTGTCACTAGAGGGCAACACAGCTACTCGCATCCTCACACCACCCCGATATATTCCCCAAGCAGCTCTCTCCTGAGATACACGGGGGAGAATTTCACGACGAAATTTGCACTTTTTTTCCCCCTGCAAAAGCCATGCTCAGGCTTGAATAATCACTTGTTGAACAGTTTTGAACAGATGAACCTGAATGTGACTGGGAGGAGAACGGCTGATGCTGTTTACAGCAATAGGACTTCTCTGTTTCTCTGCCTTCCTCATAGGGCTCATTGTCCACTGCTGTGGGGAGAACAGTAACTGCAATCAGCTGCAGACACTTAGTCCCTGATTTTGAACTGCTGGTGCCAGTGTGAGATTTATCGCTGACTTAATTTCATACGGGATTTGGTCCTCGGTACTGACTTTTACCCACAACCACATACACCAGGATATTATTTGCCCGGGTTGGATTAAACTGACCTGAAAAGTGACTCAAGAGCAACGGGTATCTTTGACTTTTGTGCACGCTGGGAAAAGAAAATAATTAATTCAATTCTGTCACACGTAACTCAAATATTGCCAAACAGGCTGGCTTGTCTTAACTTGCAAGCACCTGGCATGGAAACTATCTATCATTTTGAACATTCCTATGTACAGTAATGCTCGCATTTAACCATGACTATGTTGGCTACATTAAAGGATGGCGCAATTTCCAAAGGAGATAAGGCTGTGTTATTACTAGGTATACTATGTCATTAACTAGTATCAAAGGTCATTTTTTTTTGTTTCACTGAGACTAAGTTTTTATAGCCCCCTGTCATTTCTGCCACGTCGCCAACACCCTACTTTGTCTTGGAGTCATAGTTCTCTGATTTCACGTGATTATCTTGGGACAGTTTCTAAGTATGTGCATGTTGGATTATCACCTGAGTATATTTTCTTCCCTGCTTACTCAAATGGTGTCTCCAGATCATCTTTCAAGGAGTCAATATATATACGTATATTTGAGCCTCACAAATTCAAATGTACAGCTCACGTGATTGACTCCTTCCTCCTGCTTCTCTGCAGACACATTTGCAGGGTAACCCCACAGTTTCTGTCCCATCCCATGTAGCAAATGCAATTAACTCTAACCAACTATTAAGATTTGTTTAATATCCCCATTTAGGTCTTGCAACAATTTTCTTTTGTGATAGATGAAAGAAGGTCTTGTCGAGTTACAAGAGTTAAAATATGATGGGGTCAGAGTATGGGGGAAAGGCTCTGGGACTGTCCCCTCTCCCAAAATGCCATGCTAGAAGGAACACTATTCAAAGAAGTCTAATAGTATGTATCTCTTTTAACCAAGCAGCCTTGTATGTTGCATACATCCCTTGTCATATGTGATATGGAATTCCTTCCCGTGGACTAAGAATACTTGAGGGGTCTGAATGTAGGTATCTTACCACCATTTTTATATATACATACATTGGGATACTTGCATTAAAATATAGGTTGGGGGGGTTTCTTAAAGCTCTGGGGTACAAAAATAATAATAATTGTACCTTTTAATTTAACAATAACTTTTTTATTTAACAAGAACTTTTTATTAAATACAGTGTCTTCCATTTGGAATGTTATTTGGGAGTGGCTCATATGTTAATTTCTTTCAATATCCTTTTTCTGACACTGACTAGTATAGCAAACTTCAGAAGGCAGCAGATGAAATCCTGCTGCTGGTTACAATGAAAACTGCCGGTTTTCTTTTTTAGAAAAATCATGCAGGATTTACAAATAGTTGTATTCTAGCACTCAGCTATATCCACATTCATATTTTAAAAAAAACGTAGATGCTATCCTAATTTTTCTTGCTGGAGGCCAGCCTCACTGTTTTTTCTCTTAGTCTTTTCAACCTTAAAGACAATAAAAGGTGATGAAAAAGTTTTTGTGGTGAATCCCAAAACTAGGATATCCTCAAGGCAATGTGGTTAGTGCAAAACCAAGAAAAGCATTTAATTCTGTAGATATAATCCAGTCCTTTTAGTGAGTGAATACAAGCCTATTAAAAACTCATTTAACAAAAAAAAAAAACAACCAAAACAAAAAACCTGCTAGGCAGAGATTTTGTTAGATCTGAGCAGCTAAATTCCCTTAAGAGTCCCTCTGCATGCAGCAGGTTTTGTCACTGAGCCCCAGACCCACACAGCCGCTGAGGAGCAGTGGCACAGAATCGTAGAATGGTCTAGGTTGGAAGGGAGCTTGAGATCATCAAGTCCAACCATTGGCCTAATAATGCCAAAACCACCACTAAACCATGTCCCTCAGCACCCCGTCTACCCGTCTTATAAATCCCTCCAGGGATAGTGACTCCACCACTTCCCTGGGCAGCTTGTTCCAATGTTTGATAACCCTTTCCGTGAAGAATTTCTCCCTCATATCCAATCTAAATTTCCCCTGGTGCAACCTGAGGCTGTTCAGTATCGCCTGTGACTTGGGAGAAGAGACCGACCCCCACCTCTCTACAGCCTCCTCTCAGGTAGTTGTAGAGAGCGATAAGGTCCCCCCTCAGCCTCCTTTTCTCCAGACTGAACACCCCCAGCTCCCTCAGCCGCTCCTCATAAGACTTACTCTCCAGACCTCTCACCAGCTTCGTTGCCCTTCTCTGGACCCGCTCCAGCACCTCAATGTCATTTTTGTGGTAAGGGGCCCAAAATTGGACACAGCACTCGAGGTGAGGCTTCGCCCATGCCCAATACAGGGGGGACGGTCACCTCCCTACTCCTGCTGGCCACGCTATTCCTGATACAGGCCAGGATACCGTTGGCTTTCTTGGCCACCTGAGCACACTGCTGGCTCGTGTTCAGCTGGCTGTTGACCAAGTATTTATGTACATACATGTATGACTGGTACATGTCAGCCGGACCCCAGCAGTCATCACACCTCTCATAAAAAAAAAAACAAAAAAAAAAACCTTTTTTTTATTTTTATTTTTATTTTTTTTTCCTCCAGATGCCCCTCTCCCCCTCCGGGAATTAAAACTGAGGTAAAACCATCAGGAACTTGCCAAAATGTGGCCCGCGCTGCCTCCTCAGGACACTGCCCCACCGCCGGGCCAGCCCGACGCGAAGCCAGACGCTCCCCGTAGGCTCCGACCCTTTCCCTCCCTTCAGCCCCCGAGGAGGGAGGAAGAGGAGGGTGGGCTTCACCCCGCCGGGGAGCAGGGCCGCCGACAGACGGCGGGGAAAGCCGCGCCGCCGCCCTGACAGGAGCCGTGAGGCGCTGAGGTGCGGCGGGAAGGAGGGAGGGGAGAAGGGGGAGGAGGGGTGGCGGTGTGTCCCCTCTGCCCCCATGGGCGGGCCGGGGGGACCTGAGTGGATGGAGCCCGCGTCAGTCAGGGGCAGGGCGAGGCCGGCCGGCGGGGGATGGCGTCCCCCGCCCGAGGTCGGAGTTCCAGTTGTGGAAGAGCGGCGGCACCATGCGGGGGGTAGGAGCTGGGGGGGAAGGCACCTGCTCCCTCTGAAGGGAAACGGGCTGAGGCGGGAAGGCTCCCCCGGGCGGGCTTGTCGCTGTCCCGGCTCTGCCGCTGCCGCGACAAGCCCGCCGGTCCCCGCGGTTGTTTGCTTCATCTGTTTCTTTTTAGGAGGTGGTGGGCATCCTCTGCTTAATTTCTGTGGCGGCCGCCCTGGATTTCAAGTACCACCACGCCGAGGAGCTGGAGGCGTACCTGAAGAGCGTCCATGCCGCCTACCCCTCCCTCACGCACTTGCACAGCATCGGGCGCTCGGTGGAAGGTAAGGGGATATGGAGGGAGGAAAACCTCTCTTTTTTTATCGAAATTGGGACGATCGTGGGCAAAGGTGGCTGCGGTGGCGTTGTGGCTGGCGTTGTGGCTACTCTCTGCTTAAATCTCTGTGAAGTTTCCTCTTCCTCTTGCTTAAGCGTGAATAACACACTCTTGATGACACCTGTGGCGCTTCAGCTAGGGTAGGAGGGTAGGAGTTGTCCCCACACCTATTTTTATTATTTTTCTTCTTCTTCCTTTTTTTTTTTTTTTTTTTTGAGAGAGAGAGAGTTGGAAACCTCCTGAGCGGCAGCTTCAGAAAAAGGGCTGCCTTTAAAGACTTTAAAATGTGTGGTACCCCTTTTGCCAAGTGCCCCTTCTAGGGTGGGGCTGTAATAGGAGCATGTATTTCCAAACTTCGGCGTATGTTAAAGATATCTTCTTCTTCTTCTTCTGGCTTTACTTATTATTCCAGTAAATCTGGACTGACTAGAAAAAGGATTTCAAATTCCATACTGATAAAAGGTCGTGTGTTTTAGATGAGGAATGGGATTTCGGTCTCAAACCTTACAGGAAAATATATGGAAATCAATAATCACTTTCCTGGTGATATTTCACTTTATCTCTCTCTGACTGGTACTTTCTTACAATAAACGTATAGGAAAAAAACAGAGGAGGTATTAATTTGTTTAAGGACATTAGAAAGTTTAGTGTTTATTAACATATAAATACTTAAATGTCTATCTGTCTAGTTGTGAACAAAAAAAAATCTCAAGTAGATTTCAGAAAATTAAATCGCTTTGATAAGAGATATATAATGAGATAGAGAAGTTCATTCATTAGAAATATCTGTTCTTCTTATCCCATTTCATACCACTGGAAGGAGACCATTGTAGCATCTATTATCAAATCTGTGCTTGTGTTAAAAAAAAAACCCAAACCCCTGCATCCTTCTGGGTAGATAATAATGAAGAATGCAAGTAGGTTTTTTTCATACCTCCTTCCTTCTCTTACCCTGTTTGTCTTCGATATTTTTTTTAATATACTTGTATTTATCTGGGATATGACTTTTAATTGAAAAAGGGGTTCTGTTTCAGTGAGGTATCGAACAGCTGTCATGTTGCTATGTGTATGTGATCTTGTCTCTGTGCATGTCTACACTCATTTCCTTAGCAAGTCTCGTTGTGGGAAGACTCAAACTAGATAAGGAATCTTAAAATTGTTTGTGTTCTTAGTTTCATCAAAGGCAGAATCATATTGGATTATGTTATTTGTCTAAGCAGGAGAAGGCTAGTCCCTTTAAGTACAGTTCCCTCCAGTAGAAACTACCAATTATCCAGATCTTCATTTTCCTACCTTGAGGGGACTTAGCTAATGTTTTAATGATAGGACTAGATTCTGATTTTTCTGGCATGAACTCTGCTGGCTTATCTTTGTGCAGGTAGGACAAAAGCTTTCATCCAACCTGAGAGATTGGAATTACGGCTTTTACATATCTAGACATCTGAAAGTTGATAAGATGAAATGTTCAACTTGTCTGAGTTCCATTAGCATGAAAACTGGAAGTGCATCATCTCTTGATTGTGATTGAGCAATGCACTGAAACTTTATTCAGATTTTAGTGTATTGCCTTGTGTTTGCCAAACTGTGTGAGAAAAGAGAATTACATGGCCTCTCCCTTGTTCTGCCAGCTACATGTCATGATTCACAAAGAGGTGATCAGTTACACTTTTTGCATGTCCTGTGTGCCTGCAATATTCCTCTGAATGGAACAGGTGGGCAGTGGAAACTTTCTCAGTGCATATAAAGCAGAATGGCAATGAGAAATCTTCAGTGCTTCTCTATTCTTTTCTTTTTTTTCTAAATGTTAAGAGATTTCTACCTCTGTTAAGAAACGTGCCTCAAGAGTCCGCTGAAATATGTTAGAGGATGGAACTCTCTCTTCCCTGCACTGCCCCTCCACCCTCCCCACCATACTAAGAGAAAGTCTTGTGACAACGGATGTTATATAGTTTTTGTGAAAATGAAGTTTCAGTTTTGGTCACCAGGCTAAAGTTCTGTTCCTCTTTTCTCAGATAAGCTGAAAAAACCAAGAATGTGTGTATGCACATGTGTGTGGGTTTATTTGTATGGGTTTACTAGTGTCCCGCTACCAATTAGTTAACTTGTCATAGCAAAATGTATTTACTGATGATGAGAAGCAGAAATTAATTTAAATGTTACAGAATTGAGATCAGCATGATGTACTAAGTTTTCTGTTAAGCTGTTGACAGTCCTGATGTGGATCCTAATTTTGAAATTGTTGATGAGGAATACAAAATCCTATGAATCACAGACATAATTTTACTGTTATTGTGAATGGCTATTGTTCCCATGTTATTCTTAAATCCAATCTAGGTTTTACTCTAACTTTATCTAATAATCTAGTGTTATATACTGCAATCTAGACTTGGATTATGAAGAATGTGAAGTAAAGGCTTGATTTTTTTTGGTTGGCATATGTAAATCTGGTGCTCTGCGAGGGCATAGAATCCACTTTTAGAAGCCCAAATGTGGAAGGTGATAGGGACCTGTTTATCACCAATTCAGGAAGTGATTGCATGTAGTTCTTTAACAGAAATATCCAAACACTCTTCATATCAGAAACCTCACATGCTCCAGGCAGATCATGAAGTAATTTAGGTCTGGAGGCCATCTGGTCTGAGCCCCTGTTGAAAGCAGGGCTAACTTGAAAGTTAGGTTATGGTGCTCAGAGCCCTCTCCACCCAAGATTTGAATATCTGCAAGAGTGGAGATTCTACAGGGTCTCTGGGTACTCCATCCAGTGCTCAACTACCTTTGTTGTGGAAATGTGTCTTCTTGCATGTGATCAGAATTTTCCTTGCTGTGAGTTGTCACCTGTCCTTCTGCTGTGCGTCTCTAAGAAGGGTCTGGTGCTCTCTTCTGTATTAATCTCCTGTTAGATAGTGGAAGGTTGCAGCTGCGTCACCCTCCAAGCTAAGCAAACTGGTCTCCCCCCGCCTCTCCTCAGATACAGCGTGCCTTCTAATCACCTTGGTGGCCCTCTGCTGGACTTCTTCCAATGTGGTGTTGCCTCCCTTGAGCTAGGGAACTTGTAGCTGGACACGGTACTCTAGTTGAAGCTTTACTAATGCTGAGTGAAGGGGAATAATAATTTCCCTCAAGTTGCTGTTTTGCATTCTTGCTGATGCAGCCTGGCATACAGGTTGCTTTTTCCGCTGCAGGAGCACACTACTGACTCACGTTTATCTTTTCCACCTGGACATTCTTCCCACACCCTTCAACTCCTACATCGCAGAGCCACAACCTGGCCAGTCTGCAGCCTGTACAAGCATGGGGTTATCTTCTTGAGCTGATAATCCCAGTATGGGGTTCTTCCATTCCATTCCAGGTGCAGGACTTTGCATTTGCCTTTGTCAAAATTCATGAGTTTTCTGTTGAGAAATTCCTTCAGCTTGTCCAGGCCCCTCTGAACGGCAGCCTTGGCCATGATGAAGATGTTAAATAGTTATCAGCTTCTGTACTGACCCTTCAGGAATGCTGCTAGTAACTTGCTGTCACTTGAACCACCAATTGCTCGCTCCAGCCAGCTTCTGACCTCCCTGCAGTCTACTCATCTAATCTATATGTTTCCAGCTTGTTTACAAAGATACTGTGAGGATGAATGAGCACTGGAATAGGCTTCTCAGAGGAGGCTCTGGAATCTCCTTCGAGATTCTCCAAGGAATCTCTTTGAATATCCTTGGAGATACTCAGTTGCCATCTGGACACAGTCCTGGGCAACTGGCTGTAGGTGGCCCTGCTTCAGCTGGGGCCAGAGGGAGGAACAGACATGACATGACACATGGATGACACACCATGTGACCTCCAGAGGTTCCTTCCAGCTGATTCTGTAATTCTGTTGAAAGCTTTGCTTGGATCAAAGCTAAAGAATTATGATGGATAAATTTGAGGTGAGATTTACGAAGAGTATTTATTTGATGTGTGTAGACTATGACAGCAATGTACACAATGGAACCAGTAGCAAGAGTCTCACTGGAAAGCAAACTAAAAGATGCCCAATCTGTTTTGTGGTGGTTCACGTCACCATATGCAAATTCACCACCCCTCGGTCAGATTACTGGGAAGAATGTGTTCTAGACTGGCAATAGCAGTCTAGAATGGCAGTCTTCAGGTCTGTCTGGTATTTAATTATGCATCTCATCTGCTAAGCTATTATCCTTAAATGAGGGGATAAGGGAGCTTAAAAAGAGTGTTAAAACTGAGTGTTACGTGTTTGGTCTAATTTGGTAGGTAACCTCAAATCCCTCGAGAATTGAAGATGATATGTATGTTTGTGAGAGACCTGGTACAGTCTTATAAGCAGGTAGGCAGAGATGTATGATGGCCCAGAAAGCACCTTGATTTTTTTATATTGTTGCAGATGTGTTGTTGAATAAGCTCGTAAAAGATCTTTGGCGGGAGCTTTGCTTTTTAATAGGCACAATCTCCAACCTCCGTACAGTATGTGCGCTCTGTAATAACAGAGGAGGCTGCAGAGCTGCGTCAGTCTGGAGAATGGGACCTGGTGCAATCACATCAACCTGTCCTGCCTAATGCCACCCCAGTCAAAAACAGACTTGACTCTTCAGCAAGTGAATCTTGCACTGTGCACTATCAAAATGAAAATATTTGATGTATGTGTATGATCTGTGGCTTCTAATTGCTCAAGTTACTCTGCTGTTTGTTATTCTTCTTTGAAAAGAAAACGAGGGTGATGAGAAGCAGACTCCAGGATTCTAATAGATAGACTTGATGAACTTATTAGGAGAACAAAGGCAAGCAACGGTTTAAAGAGCTGAGTGGCTTTTGTAGAAGATTCACACTCCTTAAAAACTTTTCAGATACACTCGGGATTCAGATAAAGTGGCGGCATGCCAATTACAGCTTGTTTTAGATCTAGCTTTTCTGGAAGCCAGTCTACATTTTTAGATTTCCAGTCAAATTGGA